GGAAGAGAAAGTAGGTAGAAACCTGAAGACATAGGGGTAGGCAGAGAATTCATGAACGAAACCCAAACATTATGGAAAACACTTCAAAGAATCAACAACTGGGTCTCATCTTACTGAAAACATTTTGCACATTAAAAAAAAAAATCACCAACAGAGTAAAAAGAAAACCCATAAATTGGGGGGAAAAGATGTTAGCCAACTGTCCCTCAGACAAAGGACCTCTGTGTAGAACATGCAAAGAATTTTCAAAAAAAAAAAAAATCAGGCCCCCAAAATTCAAAGACCCAATCCAAAAATGGGCATCTGAGATAAAAACACTCTTGTCAGATGAAGTACAAATGGCAAATAAATCTATGAAAAAATGTTCATCATTGACCACTTGAGAAATGCAAATTAAGACAACACTGAGATTCCATCTCACCCCAGAAAGAATGGCTGTCTATGCAGTAGAATGAGCATTGTTAATTTTCTGTTCTTGTCCTGAAATTCAGTACCACTTTTATTGTTCTATGTTGCTTTGTTTCTGACTTTGTTCTTGCTATTTGTTTTTGTTTTCTCTTTAAAATAGAAAAAAATAAATCAACCTATACCAAACGCTGGTGGGGCTGTGGGGAGAAAGGAGCCCTTCTCCACTGTAGGTGGGATTGTAGACTGGCACAGCCACTGTAGAAATCAGTGTGGAGACTCCTCAAGAAACCAGTGTGACAGGCCCCACTCAGCCCAGCTATTCCCCTCCTAGCTATTTCCCAGAACTGAAAACATTACACGCCAGTGATGAATGCGCACCTATATTCACCGCAGCACAATTTGTCATAGCTAATGTTGGAAACAACCCAGATGCCCATCAACCGAGGAATGGATAAAAAGTTGTGGTATTTGTACACATGGAATATTATTCAGCTATAAAGAAAGATACCTTCGAGGCTTTTCAGGTAAATGGATGCAACCAGAGATCATACTCATAAGTGAAATAACTCAGACGCACGTACGCAAACATTGTATTGTCTCACTAGAGTAAGAAAGTGAGAGAGCAAATAAGGTCCAAAAAGTACAGTAGACTGTGAAAGGGAAAGAAGGAGCTCAACAGGAAAGAACTGGGTTGGGAGAAAGGAGAAAAGAACGAAGGGGGGAAAATACCCCCCCCCTCATAGCCTCGGTAATTGTGCTGCTAATTTCTATTAGTTCATTGAAAGGAAGTTAGTGCTTATGCTGTTTGACCCATCCTGCATGCGTATGGCTGGTAATCTGCTTTGAGGATAACAATATGTGACACAATAACCACTGTTAATTTCCTATGGTCTTCTTTTGAAATTCTGTATCATTTTTTTTTCTCTTTAAAATAAAAAAAATAAAAAGAGGTGGGTACATGCGCCCGGCGCGCTCGCCAGCTGCGCCCACCAGCGCGCTTGGCCTGGGTCCTGCGGACCCCTCCGCCCACCGGCCGGATTAGAAATGCCATCATCTCCCCCCACCCTTGAAACGCGACGACGACCGACACTGCTCTCTATTTGGGCCCTCCTCAGAAAGCGCGAACAGCGAGCCCTAAGAGCTCCAACGTCATTTTATTTGTGGCAAGTTGATGAACTACCTCGGGTTATTTTAAATTCAGCAGTTGAAAAACAAAAAAGACCAGGGTATGTGTGGGGCGGGGTGTCCAGCGAGGACGGCGGGAAGCGAAGCGGGCCCTGCCGTGTAGAACGCTTGCTCTAAACGGGGCCATTTTCCAGAAAGAGCCGTTTTGTCTCTACCCTGCTCTGAACATAAAATCACACTTCAAACGC